ATCCTAAGCACTGTACAAACACCAAAGAAAGCCAAGCCCTTGCCACAGAGAACTCACACCCTGAAAGGGCAAACAAAACGCTCTCCGAGGGAAGGACTGCCAAAAGCAACCCAGGGAGCTGCACGGGTATGGCACAAGAACCAGGACGTTAGGGAGCACCTGGGGAAAGTCAGCACCGCTGCTCTGGTGGGGCGCAGAGCCCTCCACCCAGCTCCCCCTGCAAGCTGAGACACCAGCGGCAGCGGAGATGTGTCGGGGGCCCAAAAACGAGGAGGAATCAGGAAACTTGCTGTTTCCCAGTGCCAAAACATCACACCCAACCCTGCCACGCAGCAGAGGCAGCAAGGAGGCTGCCCCATGGACCAGAGCAGCCAGTGGAGCGGGAGTCCTGCCCGCTACAGCCCGGCCGGCCATTCCTGGCCACCTCCGCTCCAGGCTGTACGGGTCCCAAGGCCCTTCTTCTACTGCTTGAACTTCGGACCATTTTTAAAGAGGAGCAAGTCATAAACAGAGGCAAGTTCCTGTAGGCGGGTTGTTGTGCCATACAGAATGAGGCCTACCTGAGTCCATAGTGCAACCTGGTTAAACAGCACTTAATTTTTATATCACATTTATTACAAACAAATATTTGCCTTTGTGCTTTCTTGGAGCGGCTCCTTCTCTGCGCAAGCAACACCAGAACAGGCGGAGAGCAGCTGCCTGCAGGTCCCAGCACTGCCTGGCAAGCGGAGCTCGAGCCCCAGGGAAGGGGGCAGCCGGGCCAAGCAGCCCAGGTGCAGCTGAGGACATGATGAACCAACCACCTCTCCTTTCCCTCTTCTCCTCTCTGCCTCCTGCAAGCTAAGCAAGCATCTCAAAAAACAACCAAAAAACGGGGAAAAAACCCCCAAACCCGACGTCCCCTCCAAACGGCCCGCAGTGCGCGCACTGCACAACGATGCCACGTCCCTTTGCAGAGCAGGGTGCAGAGCACAAAGAGCAGGAAGGTGGCGGCAGGAACTCTGCCAGTTCTCCTCTCTGCAAACACCACCTGCAGACTTGGCCCCACGGAGATGAAGGTGGCAGGGAGAAAAAAGAGGACAGCCTTGCCAGGGGGGCGACCTTTTGTTCTGTGCATCTAGTTTAGTAGGGCCTTCCACGTTTGAATTCCTAAGAGATAGCTAAACACAAAGATGTAACTTAAATATTACTCCTCTGAACAGTGTTCAGTGCTTGCATTTATACCTTAAGTCTTTGGTGTTTCTGTGATTTTCCACTCTTTAGTTATGCAAGTGCACTACACTAGTTGTGCAGAGCAGCCAAATTACCTCCCACTTTTCCAAGCTTGAGGTACTTGGGGTGACGGTAACAGACAAGTGAAACATGCTCAAAGTGATCCTGCTGGAGCAGCAGTTTGACTAGATCTCCCGAAGTCCCTTCCAACTGCAGCTGCTCTGCAATTTCTGTGAAATAGATCCTGCTGGCCACATTTAACGCCTGTGCTTCACCTGCACTTTGTTTTCTCTTAGCAAGAAAGCAAGCCCTGTGCCTTAAACTTGAAAGTTAGCACGCGACAGACAGCATGCTGATAAACTTTGAATTTTACTGACTCGTGAAATCTGGTAAAGGTTTGTTTTGGTCCCATTTTGTGGGAAGAAGAAATGGCATCAGGAAGATGATGCTTACCTTGAGAAAAGACACAACAAGTATTTCCTGAATTGTGAATGGGTTTAGTTTCATATGCCATGCATTATTCCTTTTTATTTGAGATACTGTAAAATGCTATCGTTGATTTTTCACATGATCCAGGGGGAAACTGCAAAGCAATTTAAAAAAATACCCGTTTCCCTCCCAGCATCCTTTCCCTGCAAGGGCATTTTGACAAGTGAATTAACTGAATTATAAGAGCTTCTAAACTTGTGCTGTTAGTGCCAAAATAAATCCAGGGCTTTAGATTAGATAGTGTAAGAGTTTTGCTCTGCTGACTGATTGCTTTTAGCCTTGGTCACAGACAGAATACTGGACCAGGACAACCTATGATCTAATGCATTATGGACCTTTCTTTCCCCTGATTTTTTCTCTTACCATCAACGCTGTGCATTTTGGGAAGTTAAAAGATAATTAACACTTTGACCGAGGGCATTTTAAAGCTGCTCTAAATTATGAAGAATTCTAGACACTCACACTAGGCAAACTTTTCCTGCAAAACAAATATGATGGAGTGGTCGAAGAATCCAGTGCACTGCCACACAGCAGAAGAGATTGAGGTTAAACCAGGTAATTGGTTATATTACACTTATACAAATGCAGATTGCATCACAGGCTGTTAACTTCCATCTGATACGAGCAATTATGTCCTTTGAAAGCGCTAAGTAAATAAAGGGTTATGGAGGCTTTTCTGCACAAAGAAGATGAGCTGATTGTGTCAGCAGGGAAAATAGTCAGTGCTCTGACAGCTGGATGAGACAAATCAGTTGGGGAGATCATCTTGCTGCCGAAGCACAAGGCAAGGGGAGAGGAGGTCTGAGCTCCCAGCACTTCTGCAGCACGTTCGGTGAGTGATCTAGAGCAAGTCATGAATTCTCTGTTCTTGTTTCCTCTTTGGTGAAAATGATGATGGCGATGATGGTTATTTTCAGCAGTGCTCTGAGAATTCATTCGATTTATATTTACTTTTTTTTTTTTTTTTTTTTTGCAAATTCCTCCCTGGAAGTCACTGAAAACGTTACGGTCCTACCACTACCCCACCACAGTATTAGCTGTAAACGAACACAAGCGCATTGGACCCAAGCTTCAGCCCTACTGCACTCATTTCTCACTATTTGTTCTGTCAGAAAACACCACACCATTGAGATATAAAATCATTGTTCAAATCAGTCAAGTACAGGAGAACGTTAGGAAAACCCAAAAGGTTGGCTAGCTGCAGTATCTCTCTGGGCTATCTACTTTGCATTTATATTCCTGACTTCCAAGTCTTGCTCACTGTTGCAGACGCAACATTAGGTTAGTTGGCTCTTTGACACAATATGGCTTTTCCTATGCAATATTACACTACAGCTTTTCGAGGTCCTTTATTATTTTGTATTGTTACTTGTCCAAAGCACTGGCCACGGAAAATTGCATCCTGTGTACCCACTAACAGATTCCGAATTAAGCATGTGTTGAATGCAGTGGAAAGACTTTACACATCAACCTCAAATAAAGACAAGTTTCCTGTTCTGCATCCTCTGAAAAGCTGTTTACTAGCAGACAAGAAATAATGAGGGCTACCTATTGGTTACCAAATCAAGGCACGTGCCGCATAGTGGGAACTATAGCCTAGAAATCTGAATTTCCAGGGTTTGATCAAGAGTTGAACAGGTTCCAGGCAACGAAGAGATTCCAAAGGGAACAACTGCCCCAAAGCCAGAATGGCTCCAGAAGTAAGCAATTGTCATGGCTGGTGAGCTGGAGTGAAAATATGAGCAGAAATGTCAGCAACATTGAAGTCTGCTCAACACAGTGCATCCATCACAGCTCTGAACACCACAGAGGAAAAAAATATGTGCAGAAAATGCCGAAGGAGGAGACAGACCTTCAGAAAGCTGACGTAAGAGTCAGTTTTGAAAAACGCAAACTCATTCATAAACATATGGAAGACACCTGGGAACCAGCCATTTAAGAGAAGCCTATGGGGTGAGGGTGGACAGAAACACATGCTGTGAAGGGCAAAAAACAAAAGGCCTGTGTGGTTTTAGGCAGTGCATTTAGGAGCAGAGATGCATAAGAAGGGCCCTCAGAAGTATGCAGTCAGACGTTAAATTCTAAGCTGTAGACAACAAAGAGTTATTATTATTATTATTATCATTCTTTTTCCCTCATAGCTGCACCTTGCTCTGAGGGAACACAGCCACAGCCCAGGCCACTCCAGGCAGTCACAAGGCGGTCAAGAAGAAAAAGAATAACAAGACACTGGGATACTAGAGTTTCAAACGTGAGGAACACAAATAGCAGCAAGGCGACCAAACAGTGACTAACTGAGCAAGCAAACCAGCTGTAGCACAGTCCAGAAGGTGGTGGGAGAGGAATCATTGAGAGAGCCAGGGGGAGTTCTGCAGGCCGAAGCCCCTGCAAGCTGCCTCCGGATGCGCGCCGTTCCTGCAGGGCCCGGGGAGCCCGTCCTCGTGGAAGCGAGGGCTGCCCAGCAGCCCTGACAGCGTGAGATGCGCCATGCGTCACGGCCGTGGGAGCAGCACGCTCTGCTTGCAAGCGCCTGCAGAGCCGAATGCCGTGTGGAGCCTCCCCTGAGAGGCGGTGAGGCCGCAGCCTGGCAGCTCCTGGGGGCTCAGGGGCAGCTCCTGGCCCTGCCTCGCACAGCACCCAAACCTCGGGGCACCCTGCCTGAGCCGCAGGCTGAGGTCGGAGACAAGCATCGTGCCAGACCTTAGAGGTTGCTGTGCGCAGGATCAGGGGCTGGATGGAGGGGAACAGGGGCCACGCACCTCCGTGGGTCGCGGCACGTTGAGGCAGGGGAACAGGGGCCACGGGGACGCGGCGCGTTGAGGCCGGGCTGCCGAGGCTGCTGTGCTCTGCCTGTGCCTGCCTGGTGCGGTGCCGTGCGGCTGCAAGCCAAGACGAGTGGGCTCGCGCACTCCTGAATAAATCTGCTTGGTAGGGTGGAGTCTGCCTTGTCCTTGCACTACATGCAAATTAAATCTCCCCGCAACCTCACTGCAAATATTTTCTGGTTTCTCACACCCTGCCCCGGGCAGGAGCAGGCTGTTTTCGCTGCCGATCTGCTAGCTTCGCTCAGAGCTCTGGGTTTTGGCTATTTCGGCTTTAAAGACGCGAGACGGGGCGAGCTGCAAAGAAAACAAGCCAGGAGTGGAGCCGAGAAAAGAGGCAGGAGCAGCTGTGTGGCCGAGCCCTGCACCGCCGGTCGCCGCGGCACGAGACGCCGGTCGCACGAACGCGGTTGCTCGCTCGAGACCCCGCACCCGCGTGCTGCCTTCCCCGGCGCAGACCCGGCCACCCGCTCCTACCTGTTTGCCGACGGCAGGCAGGCAGAGCAGCACGAGGCAGCGGCCGGCCGCGACGGGCATGTCTGAGAGTCCGTCTCTGCCTCCTCTTGTTGCTCCTTTTCCTGCCACCAAACAGAAACTAGATCCTTTCAACCAAGTCCCCAAGGGCCGGCAAGAGTGTGAGGCGCATTTGAGCTGGTTACTTCTCTTTCTTCCTTTCCTTCCTCTCAGCTACACGAGGGGAGAAGAGAGAAGAAAAAAAAAAAAAAAAAACCAACAACAAAAAAACACAGAGCCTGGCTGTAGTTCCCAGAGCATTTCCTCAGACTTGACATGCAGGGTTTTTTTTTTCCCCTCTTCTTGTCCCTCCCTTTCCTCTCTCCTCCCCCTTTTACAAGAAGTTTAGTCACTGTGCCCACGTTCCTCCTCCTGCCCACGGGCACTGCGTTCCCTGCCCTTCTTCTGCCCTCCAGGGCCATCCACCTGGCTTCTGCCCCACGCATCCTGCCTTGTCCAACCCGGCCCTCCCTTAATCCTCATGTGAAGAGGCACCTTCACCTTGCCCTGCTGTCTGGGCAAAAGCTGCCCCTTTCCCCCCTCTCCTTCCAGGCAACAGGCAGGTGGGAGCACCCAACGCCACACACAGGGTCAGCCCTGAGAGCTGCCTTGAGCTAGCGCCGAGCGATGTCCTGGTCCCCCAAACTCACACATCAAGGGCCCAATGTCTTTGGTGGCAACAGCCCTGCTCCGCATGGGGCAGCCTGCAACGCCCCCGTCTGCTGGGAGCAGCAGGGCTCCTTCCCAGGGCGTCGGCGGAGCGCAGCGCCGTGCAAGAGCTCTGGGGGGAAGGCGCCCGTCGGCTCCAGCCGAGTATCTGGCACAGCGAGCGGGGCTTCGTGACGCCTTCGCTGTCTCCCAGCGCTTATGCGCCACGTTGAAATAGGTCGGGAGCGCGTGGCTGACCTGAACTGTGAATAAGGAAGTTGTTCTTTCAGGCGCGTGTTTAGATTTAACTCTCGGCCAAAAAAAAAAAAAAAAAATTTGTTTGTAAGTTATCCTATGCTTGTAAATAAATAAATAAAACTGAGCACAAAAACCAAAGGAGTAAGAGGCGTTTTCTGCTCAGAAGAGGGATCCTCGGAGCCAGTGAAGATTCAGGACAAAAACAGCTGCTGGATTCCCCTCTGAGTTAATGAGAAGAGCTTGTCTACACAACAAAATAAAGCTCTGGCCTTCACTTCTGAATGATATTTGGAGTTCACAAAATCAACCCTTTATGCTCTCCCCGTCTGCTGGAAGCTTCCAAGGCTGCCCAGTTTAAGCTGGGCAGGCCTCAACCCACGTTCCCATGCCTCCTCTCCCATGGCCGGGGCGGGCTGGTGGCACTGGCACCAGTATTACGCGCCACAGCGGGACAAGGGGCACAACCGCGTGGGGTAATCGCCTGGCTGTGGGCCAGGCCGCTGCTTCTGCTGCACATGCGCTGTAAGAGCACTTGGGCGACAGACCTACGGGGGTCTCAGGGAGCCGCAGAGCCCCCTCTCGTCACAGGGCTGGCAGGCGAGGCCAGACGGGCGCCACACGCGCTCCTTGCGGGAGCATGACGCCCTCCCCGCGCTGAAACCGCGCGGCCGTGCGCTGGCAGGGCCGTTCTGAAGTATTCGCATTTACAGTACAAGGAAACGTTTCTTTCTAAACAGAACAGCCTGTTCGGTCTCTTCCTCTTTTTGCGTTCAGCACAATAGTGGGACTATGAGCAGTGCGTGTTTACCAGCTGCTGACCCCAGCCGCGGATTTACAGGAGCAAAGGCAACGTCACAAGCATCGGGCCAAGTTATTTTCCCTGTCTCAGAAGGTGTGGAGTAAAGGGCATGGCTCTTGGGTTCGTGGGAGCTCCACACAGCTCAGGCCTGCAGATCAGCTCGCTCGCTGCCGCCTTCTGTCTCCCAGTCGCGCCCGCAGCGCTCATTCCTCAGGCTGAAATTTCTCTGAACATCGTCTTCCACTCTGTGAAAATAGCTTGTTGTTGAAAGCTCAGTCGTTTTCTTCCAAGCTAGGATTTAAGTTTTTGAGCCCAAACCCACAGAAGCCACTGCTGGGCGCTTTACAGTCTTAATTACGTATTGCAGCAGATTGGCAGAAACTGAAACACAGATACTTGAAAATATGAACAAAGGGAATCTATAGGAAAGAGCTCTTGCATTTTTCACACATGTTATTTTATATAGTTCAAAGTAAAAAAACAATAACAACAGCAACAATAACAACAACAACAAAAAACACCTGCCGAATTCCTTTTACAGCTTATTCTGTTATAGATTTTTTTTTCTATTATAGAATACCAATTTTTGTTAACTTTTCAAAACACTCTTTTGAATAAAAATGAAACACCTGAACATTTCAAAGTCACAATAGCATGAGGGGGTGCACCTCCTGTTCCTGTTGTTCACTGTAGCATGCACACCCAAAGCAGACTATCCTCTGTGGTCCTTTTTTTAATGGAGAGAGATGGAAAACCACATGCAGACCCTACAGATGCAACAGATCAAATATGAGGGTGCCTTCCCCTGTGCATTCTGCTGTGGAAAATAAATGGCAAACTTTTGATAACTTAGCAGTTCTATGGTGAATATGAATGTCTTTTTAGACATAAAAGCAGAAACTGTAGATAAAACTAATATTTTAGAAGAAGTGGAGCAAGCAATATAATACTACAACCTTTATAACTTTCTGAAACTACTTCAGCATCAGTATAAAAATAACCCTTTTCCAGGAGCTTTGGAAAATGGTGACTAATTCCCAGACAAACAGTGGATTTTTTGCCTGTCTTTCAAAACTTTTCAACACAAAAAGCAAAGATCACAACCAGTTTGGTGGACAGAGCAGTCCCCAGGGACCTTGAACAGTCCTTGTAGGCTCACACCCACTCCCTCAGGTATCACTTCTCTTGGACCATACCACAAAATTCCTCTGCCCCTTCCTGCCTGAGAAGGATGGAAGACGTTTTGATTCCTCAGCCTCCCGGATGCTGTTAGCGATGGTGGCCAGAGATGAGGGCTTGTGTTGGATTCCGATCAAGGCGCTAGGTTAGGACTCTAAGTACAGCCTTTGCAAATACCATCGTCCGCCTCTAAGCAAGGATGGGTGAGGGATTAAGCTGGAGCACGTGCAAAGTCAGAGCTCTGAGAAAGGGCCCTGCAGCTTGGGGCCACCTTGGAGGGTGCCCTCCACCTCGGAAGCAGAACCATCTGTCTTGGGGTCGGGGGAAGGCTGCCCCCACCATAGGGGAAGTCGCTGCTCTGCTATCCAATACATGGAGCTCTGTATGCTGTGTTAAACGAAATAAAAAAAAAAGTCTGAAAAATGCATATATTTAGCACGGAGGCTTTAATTTCTGTTGAGATCTTCAATTATTAAAATAAGTGCATTAAAAATCTGTTATTTATCTAGACAAATTCATGCACAAAAACATGCCATCAACTCGAAACTGTTTTCTTCCTGTAAAGTGCACATTTCCACAGCAGGCTATTGCCAAATCTCCTTGAGATTTTTAAGCATGCACATTATTTTTTCAGGACAGAGCAACTATAGCCAAGCCTGGAAGTGACACACGGTGCTGTTTACATAGAACACTTTTGACAAGCCCACAAAACGTATCAGTGTGAAATACCTGTCCAAACCCTGAAGTTTGCAGCATTCAAAAGCAAAGAGTTCGCTACCAGCCACCACTAGCAGGTAGGATATTTGAAGAGCAGACACTGAGCTGATTACAGCGTTACAAGGGCGCACTGAGCTGATACATTATCACCCACCGCAGCGGCAATAGCAATACCTACATACTCCTGGAAGGAAACACAAACTCGTGGTGAATTTTTAACCTTGAGCATTTGTTCGTGCTTGTCAGAGATACCAGCCTCGTGATCTCGGGGAGGGCAATCACCTACTCCCCCTCAGGACGAGGGCAGCATGGACACGAGTCAGGGAGCTATCCTTGCGCTGCCCTGAAGCACCTCAACCTCTCGCCTGACTGCAGAGCCGGCTCCGAGGCTGGGAAAGGCTGGCAAACTCCTCCCGCAAAAGCAGCCAGCCCCTGACTTCCCCCAGACATGGCAGCGCCCCAGCTGTGCAGCCATTTCATCTAACAGCACGCTACAGCCATGGTGATCTTTGAAAACTCACCCGAATAGTAAGATGACTCAGATTCAGATCAATAGTGTGTATTCATTCTCCAGCAAGGGTCCAAGTTCATAGAAAATCTTATTGCCTATTAAAAATTATAGCTGCTTCTTCCCTGTTCTCATTTGCCAACCCCATTGCCAGTGTATTTGAAGCAAGAGAGCAACAAGCCCAGCCCATTGGTGACCAGCCCTCTGCAAGGGGTACGTGCTGTTACCAGTGCTGCAGTTTCGTCAGGAACACTGTGCGCCGTCTCCAGCTGCCACCTAGGCCAAAGAGGCTCCCAGCCTTTCGGAACAGGGAAAATTTCCCACTGAAGTGAAGGATGAAGAGCAGCAGCACCAGTCTACCACATTTTGGCGTTAATGCGAGTTAGCAAGGACGCAGTGGGCAGCACGTGCAGTAGAGCTGTTAGGAAAGGAACTAGGCAGATGACTATCATCGTGTTGGTCCCTTACCACAATGCATAAGTCATCTTGTTCAAGTCACCGATTTCTACAGCAGAACTTCTCCTTCTGGAGGTTTCTGGAAACTGGACATGTTCATTCTAAGGAAACATTTCACTACACTGGAAGGATGATCCTCACAAGCTGACAGCTAGCAAGTAACATAGATGCCTCCACGGAGGCGGATTGCTTACCATGACTGAACCAACAGTACAAACAACATAATCTTCTCCCAGAGCTTACCCATTACACTGAAGAGCACTGAACCTAAAGGCAGAAGCACCTTAGAAACCACTTCTTTGGATAACAATTACTCACTCACAGGTGCTTGCTGTGATTAGTTAGCACATGATATATTATCATACAGCATTAAAATCCAGGACCTGATTAGCCAGTGACTACACACTTCCTGGCTTTTTTACCGTCGCCTTACCGTCAAAAATAAATCTTCCACGATCTTATAATCTAAAACAAACCAGCTATTCATATCCTTTCCCGATCTGAATCAGGGTGGGGGAAATTTATCGCAATACCCTCAATACCCAGTTTCACTGACGTGCTGCGGCCTGGCACTTCGCACCGCACTCCTGTAATTGGGCAATATGCAAGACAGGGCACCCCAAATCGCTGCCATACCAATCAGCCAAGTATGAAGGCACATCAATAACTTCCCAGCCAACGAAGCACTGCTGGTAGTTTGTGGTTTGCTCAAATGTCATCGAAGAAGTTTACACGGGCTGTTACTCAAAACATTTTGACTGCAAGATACTCACTCTTAGAAATTGCACTAAGATATATGAATAGAACTTCTAATCACACTGCTGCTTCCAGAATAGAAAATCCCATTATCACTGTCACAATACAAACAGAGAACGGAAATATTGAACATTTCTGTTTTCCTGTACCCTTTAAAATCACCTTGTCATCCCTATGTATCAATTTAGTGATTTTATTTTTCTTCAATGTTTTACAAAAAAGGCCTTCTTGTTCTTCAGTACAGATTTATTTTTTTTAATGCTAGCTTCCTCATTTTCTCTAGCCCTGAATCCATTCAAATACTGCTTTCGGTTCCCCTAAGCAGCATATAGTTTACCTACGGCAGTAGCATTTTTTTTTCCTCTTCTTGATAGGAAGGGGTGTGGGAAGACAACGGGGAAAGAGCAATATGTTGGGTTTTCTTGCTGGTTTTTGACAGAATATCCTATATTCACATAGGTTAGATCATACATATAAAAAAAGGTCTTATTTACAGTTTTAGGAAATAACCTCTTTCAGAACAAAATTTATGCAGAGTGTGTTATTTAAGGTACACAAAACATATTTAGATCATGATCCCAAAAAATATTTAGATCACGATCCCTACCATCTAGGCAGCCCTGTATCTTCAGCTTGCTGGTCGTCATTACGTAAAGAGCAAAAGAGCTAATAGTTCAAATGAAGTTCGAATGAAGTAAGAAATGAAATAAGAAATGCTGAGAATTTCACTGGGGACAGCATGAGACCTTCATCCTGTCCCCCATTTAAAAACTAAACAGTTGTAGAAATTCAGACAGAGATGATGAGGCAATGTTAGGTTTTTTTTTTTTTTTTTTTTTTAAACAGAATCCTTACTTTGACGATATCATAAGCAATAATACAGAACGTTGCTGTGGATATCCAGGATGGATATCAAATTGTTTTATTTCAAGTCAGCATCTTCTCGACAAAGGTTTCATAGAAATGTAGAATCATTAAGGTTGGAAGGGGCCTCTAGAGAGCATCTAAGTCCAACCCCCTTGCTGCAGGAGCATCACCTAGAGCATGTTGCACAGGACTGTGTCCAAGTGGATTTTTAAGATCTCCAGAGAAGGAGATTCCACAACCTCTCTTGGCAACTTGTTCAGTGCAGTTTTCTTTTTTTTTTTTTTATTCCTTTTTTTTTTTTTCTTTAAAATTCCAATTCTTTCCTATCCCACTCTTGAATGCTTTTAGTACAAATGCTGGCAATAAGACAAAAAAAAAGAAGAAAAAAAAAAAAAGAGGCAAAAGCAACTTCTCACCAACTTGGTAAAGTAATAAAACCTTTAAAAAGCACCTGCAACCAAGGCCTAAAGTTGAGGTATATTCCTGAAGCCTGCCTCAATAGAGTTGGCTGTCTCTGCAGAAGTTTCTCAACTCGGATCAACAGGGGAGCTGGTCTTCCCAGGGTTCTTTGCCATGTATCCTCTTAGGTCAACTAGTACGAAGCAAAAGGCTGACTCTCAAAAGCTGAACTTTGCAACAGGCCGAAGAGTCTGGGATTAAGCTGGTCAAAGCCTGTGCTTACACTGGTCAGCTAAACACAGCCTCTTTCCACAGTCATCCATAGTTAAACTGTGGTCAGTTTTTGGCTTGTGCTAATTAGCAATTTTCAAGAGGCAGGTTATGAGTTTGTGCAGGCCAGGAACCATTCTCCCAGATTCATGAATGCATCTGCCCTGCTCTGGAAATGAGGAGTTTAGCCATAAAGAAGTAATTTTGCACCATTTGGTCACAGGACTACAGAGCTGCCTCTGGCATCCCTGTCTACTAGCGCAGACAGAGCTGAGGAGAGGAGGAGATGTCAGATGAACACAACAGCACAGCAGTGTAACCTGAAGCCACTGTGAAACGCACACACGAATATGGGAAATCTAGCAAGTTAAACCCAGGGTCTGCTGTGTAAAAAAAAAATGTTACAGCTATCAAATTTGTGTTACACTTCTCTCCCCAAACACCTGTTTTGATGCAGCATGCACATATTGGAGAGGACTAGAAGTAATAAGACGAAACAGGTATACAAAACTTTTTATTGACAACAGAACAATAGAGAGGAAAGTCACCACTTGCCCTTCCTCAGGAATGTCTCCATTTCACAGTCAGTCTGCTAAAAGTAGAGTCACTTCACGGTTACAAGCAGCAAGGAGGCAGGGAAGTGTCTGCCACCCCCAGAAACACGAGTTTCAGTGCGGCGCGAAGGGGCTGAGCGCGCGCGAATGCAGCGGGCCCTTCGCACCACGAACGCGGCACAGCCAGGAGGCAGCTTCAAATCATACCCACTATTTCTGCTCCAGGGAAACATCTGAAGTGCCACTACCCACCTTCTGTTGCAAAAATTTATCCGCTCCTCCCTCACTCCTTGGGCTTTCCCTATCCTTAAGGATGTTAATACCTCCAGCTGAATGGTACTGTGTCAGAGAATGCCTGACCTTTTTACATTTTACAGCCTCTTTTTAGTTTATGCCTGCACTTGAATTTACTTTTAGAATTTCATACTGACCAAAAAAAAAGTTCCCTAAGAATAATAGCATTGGCCTGTTAATGCTTCCTTGCTAACAAAAATATTCACTATTGGTTGAAGATACTCCTTGTAAAGTTGTTTTCAAGGTAGGTAGGCAGTCTACTTAACATTTGAAAGAAACTGCACTTCAAGCGCCATTAACATAACTTCAAATATTCTGAAATGAAAGTTGAACTGGGGTTCAATCTGAGCAACAAAAAAACCTCTTAGTTTTACCTGTCACAGTACACAGAGCTGCACCATCTGTGCAGGGTGAAAACACTTTTGTCTTGCAGATGGTATTGGGACCCATTTGCTGTAGCTTATACAATTTTTATTGTTTATCCATTGATCATCTGCTTTTCCTTTACTTAGTGGATGTGCCTCAGAATATGTAGGCTAGTTGTTAAAGTGCTTCAAAATAAAATAAAAATAAAAAAACCCTCAAAAATCACAACAGATGTGAAAATTTTATCTGAAGGATTTTGTACAGCATTTACAATGTAAGCATAAAGCATCTGAAAAATAAGAATTCTCTGCAGACTGATGCAGTGCAAGCAGTCTCATACATTAGATGCTGCAATTCCTCTGGATTCAAGATGCACAATACTTAAAAACAATCCTAGAAGCACAGACAAATGCTGGTGGCTCTTCCTCTTCTTCTTAGAAACATAATAAAAAAAAATCTGCATTACTCTCTCATAATTTAAATACATAAGTAATCTCCACTTTTATTACTTCATGACACTGACTTCAAATTTACATTATTTTAAGTACCATCATAATAGCTCCATGTATAATACAGATATTTGCTGATATCTTGTCAGAAAAAGAAAAAACTTCCACTATATAAAAAAAATGCTGTAAAGACAAGAACACTGAACAGGGACTTGGTACAGACTATGATTTGAGTTTTTTATCAACCACAGTTAACCCCAAATTAACAGATACACAGCGAAATTCAAAAGCAGTGCAAATATCTTTGGAGGTTAGAATAAAATTATACTACAAGAACATAAGACATAAGAAATTAAAAGGCAAGTACTTCAAGTACAGGAACCAGTCTCTGTGAGGTCCTTCTTAGTGTTAGCTGGGAGTTCCTTTTCCCATCTTACTTCTTCCTCTGAAACACATTAGCCAACATGGCACCTGATGTAGTCAACTGGCCCATTTTGTTCAAAAACTTGGTCTTTGTATCTTCGCTCACGAGGCTTGCTGCAATTGACATGGAGCTAGGAAATTCAAGAGTTTAGTTATACTCTGCTGCTGTTCAGTAATCAACTCAACTGTCCTTGCACGTTAAGGGTTTTCAACATCATGAAAGGCCACTCCATCAACGAGCACTGAAAAACTGCCACTGCCAAAGCCAAATATAACATAGCCTTACATGAATATGCCCTCAAATAGCAGCCTGGGGAAAAGCTGCAAAATATTTTGCATGTGTTAATTTTTACCGCCTTTTAAAGTCATAGCATTGGCATTAAACACTTTAGCACTTGCTCTAACGACAGGTATCTTCATGAAAGACCAACTTTACCTTCTTGCTGTAAAAGTCAGTCCTTAATCTCTCAATACGATGTATAGTTAATACTGGTTCAGACCAAGGACCTATGTAGCCTAAGCTACATCCTGCTTCAGTGGCCACCACAGAGGCCACAAGCAGACATATATGTACAAGCATGGTAAGCACACAGTGATCATATATATCTTCTATATTTATGTGTATATATACATATACACACATACATATGCGTGATACCATCTCTACCACATAAGGCCAATTGGTGCACGTATCCCACGTGTCTGATGCTTTACTGGGGAGATTTACTCCGCATTTGTGCATTGCTGGTGTGCAACATCTGTGGCCTTTCCCCAGAGCCACCGCACTGAGGAAGGAGCTCACTCCCAGGGGGGGGACTGTTGCACATCCCAGAGAAACTGCCCTGCTGTCGCATGCACGAGCCCTGCGCAAGGCAGGATGGAAGCCTGGAGTGAGTTTTTAGCACCATCCCAACAACTGCTTCAGCTGGCCACTCCCACGGAAGAGGGCTGCCAAGGGCACGTGAACTTCCCCAAGCAGGTTAAGCCTCATCAGTTCCCACAATCTCAGATTCACAGCAGAACAGCAGAAATACTATTACTGCTTTAAATGGACAAAAAAAAAAAAAAGTGTTCCTAAAATCTGCTTCCAAATAAGAGCAGGTCAGTACAGGATTTCTGGCCACAAGGCTTTGGCACCAGTATGGAATATGCTCCCCACACAATTTTAGGCTGGATGCACGGAAAAAGAGAAGAAGTCTTACCCCTGTGGTTCTTGGACGGTCTTGTTTTCCACTTTCTGTTCACACTCTTTTATCATGGAGCTTAAAATAACCTAGAACACACGAAGAAGAGATATATGTAACTGATTTTTCCTTTTACATTAGCACTTTGGGCTTAGCTGAGGAGTAGTCTTAGTACAAGAGTGTTATACTAAACAACAGAAGCATTTGAAGAACTTCTCCTGTGCTTTTCAAATGCCTTTAATCTGCAACTATCCGATAAAGCCTTGTGGCTATTAAAACAAACAAACAAACAACAACAACAAAAAAAAACAAAAAACAAAAACAAACAAAAAAACTTTGTCTCTATTTTAAAATAAAGTGAGGAGAAGGAGGAAGAGTCTTGACCTCCTGTAACTATTTCAAAAAAGCCTTTTCTTTGTTAAAGTATTATGATTTTTTTTTTAATAGCCACAAAGTGCACTCTAAAAATTTAAGGATTTTTCTGAATCAAACAATGCTTTGGCTTATTTGCAAATAACACTAACATACATTCCAGCTCTCATCCATTTTCTTCTCATAGTGTTTCCAGTCCCCCTTAAAATTCCTAACAACACACCAGCGGGAAAAGAGGAAAAACACCAGCGGGAAAAGAGGAAAAACACCAGCGGGAAAAGAGGAGAAGAGGAAAAAAGGGAAAATAGCAAAAACTCAGGGGGAAAAAAGGAAGAAGAGGGAAAAACATAGAAGTAATGGGGAAAGAAGGAAAACACACAGAAAAACACAAAATTAACAGGCAAAACAACAGAAAAACAATAGGGAAAAAATGGAAAAAAGTGGGGGAAACAGGGAGGGAAAAACATCAGAAAAAATGGAAAAAAAGGAAAAGCATGTAAAAGGAGCACAGAAGAAAAAGAAACATCATGGGGAAATGAAATCACAGAAATGTGAATGCAACTTATTCTTTGCCAAGAAAAAAAAAAAATCCCCGAAACCCCAACACATCATTTTCATTTTCAACATAATTACATTTCAATTCTTGCTGCAATCTGCACCACCCGCTCAGTTGCTAACATTAACCGCTCACCTCATGCTCTGGTGAGAGATGTTCCATATCAGTTCGTAAACATTTAAGTCCAGGCAAAAAGTGATTGACCATTAAATCCTCTGAAATAACTAGCAAGCAGGCTGTTAAGGCATTATAAATACTTTGTTCTGATATTATACACTTTTATCCTCATGAACACATGGACAAGCCGTACTAGCAAAACCAAAGCCAATAGTCAGGATCTGACACTTCATGAAATAAAACCAATAGAAAAAAGGAAGGTAGTAAACATATGAATTGTGTGAAACCATACATCGTTTATACATACATAATATTTTCACTTTTAAAATTAAGCCATTGGTTAAGACTGCTTTTGATTTTAAGGTTTGGTAACAATCAACTCAATCAGCTCCATCTTCTGTGAGGATGTCTTTATAGTGGGCACATCATATTTTGCCTAACAAATATTCAAATACAAACTTATTTTTTCCTCAAATAGTAATCCTTTCACCTAGGATTCCATCCATTCCTCTTAAAGGAATTAAGAGCTAAACTTGCCCCGTGAAAAGGATACAACAACAGGAAAGAGCGCTGTAAGCTTCAAACAGGTGGGTAGCAATATCCAGTCTCTTGGAATCCACAGACTGCTGGTTGTTGACCAAGGCTAACTTGTGTAAGTGGGGAATAACAACTGCAAAAGTAAGTAATAGAATGATCTTAAATTGCTTTGCATGGTTGCTTAGCATTAACCAATAAGTGACAATGACGGGCATCTGAAGCATCAGGATGGGATAAGAGCTGCAAATAATGGCTTTTGATTGGCGTGTCCTTGGAGATTTATCCAATTCATCAATTAAAATCTGAAATAAAACTGTTTACACTTACATCACAGGATTTTTGCAATAGTAACAGTTTACAGAAGATATTTTACAACATTGTTCCTCCACTGCTGCTGAAGCTTTCTAAATGAGTGAGATATGCATGCATCACGAGAAAACTTTCACAGAGGGAACTTATCTGAAGATCTCAGCCAGCTAACCTCGATGCTTACAGCTGGAGGTATCATATTCCCTCAGGTTTCATTTACAGGTAACTTGAGGCTAGTAAACCCATTTTGTTGCTCCATGTGCTTTAAGACGTGTGTGATGCTTGCCACTTAAAAGGCCAGCAGCAGTGTGGGAGAAAGGAGAGGAGGGGCATTGAAAATGTCAAGTAATTCAAAGAAAGCAACTTCAGATTTGCTGCACAGTAAACTGACCAGTCCCTTTTAGTTCTCAAATCATTAATCACCATGTGCCAGGGCTAGGCATACTTTAATTCTTATTTAACAGGTGTAAGAGTCTTACATACAGGAACATGTCAAACACTGAAAACAAGAATTTTCATGGAATATTTCGTAAGATTAGAAATCAGAAAGAGGAAGAAGGCATCTTCCCGTTGGTGCAACTTACACTCATCTCTGAATCTGGGCTCAGCATTAGGTCCAACTCTTCCAAATGTTTTTATGATTTCTGTATGTAGAGAATGTTGGTCTTGATACTGAGG